CATGACTATCTCCTGTGGGAAGGACCCCACACTAGAGCAGGGGAAGAGCGTGAGGAGTCTTCCCCTTCTTCCCCCTGTGGGGAAAGAAGTGGCAGAGACAATGTGATGAACTGACAGCTCCCACTTCCCAAAACCTTGCACTGGTGTAAAGTAAAGGGACAGAAGTCCAGGAAAAAGGGAGGGGAGAAGGTGTTTTAAGATTTGGGTTTGTTTCTCATTATCTTGCTCTGATTTGATTGGTAATAAACTAAACTAATACCCCTCAGTTAGCCGTGTCTTGCCTGTTATGGTGACCAGTGAATAATCACTTCCTTTCTTTATCTCGACCCATGAGCCTTTCATTGTATTTTCCCTACCCTGCCCAGTTGAGGAGGGTGGTGATAGAAGCTTCGGTGGGGACCTGTTGTCCAGCCAGGGTCAGTGCAGTACATACCTTTAAAACAGGGACTTCACCTGGTTCTCAGGATTAGCTGGTAGCATTTAGGTGAATAATCAGTACAAGTCTGTCTTGTCGTGCAACGTTTAATCCTAGAACATGTGTTTAATACAGTATAGTTTTCTAAAGGGAGTCTTAGAAGGTAAATTATTAAGTGATCTCAGCGTCACACAAAATTGTCATCTCTGATATGATCCACTGGATTTTTTTTGCTTTCTGAAAGGCAGGAAAAGGGACAGGAAAGGAGAGATCAAACCTGCAAAGTCAGAGTATCATTTGATACAAATTCAGCTGACAACTGAAACAGATCACTCCTTTCCTGGCTAAAGCCATGTCCCTTATAGTACTGAAGAATCATATTGGACATGGAAAGGAGCATGGTCAAGTGCACTCTAGTTTCAGCTATAAAGATTTCAAAATTAGTCTGAGAGGGACAAGTGAAACAATATATAACATATTTGCATGGTTTGACATGATATTCAGAATTTCATGGCATTCTAAGGAAGCATCAAGTTGCTTTTGATTTTTTTTTTATTATTTTTAGTTATAGTTTTTCAGTTTAAAAGCTACAGGGCACTGTACATTCTTGTAAAGAATTTATAGGAAGATTCAAAGCTGCAGAACTTTGTACAAACTAATTTGCATTTCAAAGCAGTGGAGATGGCTGTTTTGGGTGAGATCACACAGAACTATTAACTAATAACTTTAATGAGCTTTCATAATTGCATAGCTGAACTTTGACTAGGATCCTCTTTTGAAAAAGTATCAGCCAACAGTAACTTGACTCTTGACACTTTGGACTTAAGAAACGGAGCCAGAGAAAGAAAAAAGAGAAAGCAATTAGTTCATTTTTATTTTTTAATGAGGAATTCTTTTATATATGTAATTTCCTAGAGTTTATTAAAGCATTATAAATACTCCAGAAAGGTTGTAAAAACAATTTTACAGGTTCTCATTCACATTCAAGCATAGAGAAGTTGTCAGTTCATAATTATTTATTATGTTTTTTGAATTTTGGGCCTAATAAGCTATAATTTTAGAGAAGTAGTCTCTAGTGCAATACACGGTACAATCACAAAGCACTGAGATTATACTTTTAGGTTACATCTATGTACAAATACATATATATGTACATACTTGTATGCGTGCACTTTAATTTCTTGCATGTATCACAGGGAAGAGAGGGATACAAGGAAGGACAATGAGGTAATCCTGCAGATGTTTAGGAGGAATTTTTATACTGGCAAAGGATAAAGTACTTTGTGCTGTTGTTTAAGAAGGAATGGAAGGTATCATGTTGAATAGTGACACATAATTCAGCACAGTGCCAGTGAAGTAGCCAATTAATTAACATCACACAAGTTTAAAGAAATGTGTGAAATAATTTTTCACTGCAACAAATCTACCTTTTAATGACATAATTTCACTCTGATTTTTAAGGAGTAGCATTTTTGATTAATGGATGTACAATGAGATAAGGTTACTTTTTTTTCATTTTTTTAATGAAGATAATTTTCCCACAAAGCAGTTCAAAGCTAAGGATGTAGTCACACATTTCTTTAGCAGGAAGCGTGATAGTATCATCTGTGTCAATGTAAATTGTAATAATAATTTTAATTTATGTTTTCTTTTAACCCATACTTAACTTCTAATCCTGATCCAAGTAAACTTTACTTTTATGACTTGCTATTTAATATAAATTATTGGTTCTCCTTACTGAAATGTAATTCACTCCAGCTTATACCTCAGTCCTGAATCTTTCTTGCCTGCAAATGCATACACACATATGCACACACCATTATAGATTAATATATATCCATCTCCATATCTGTGCATACCTTTCTCAGAAGACTACTGTTAATGTCTGAAGTGCCTTATTAACATTACTTTTCTTTCTTCCAGACAGAGACAAAAAAAAATCCTTTTATCACATTTTATACTGTCTGTTTTATACTTTACACTCCTCAGAAGTTTTAGTTACTAGGTTGATTGGATAGTTGCAAAATTGTTTTGTATTTTTGCTATCTAAAATGACCACTCTAGGCATACTTACCTTCCATTGAACCTGTTTACCTTGTGCTTCATACATTAGACAGCTAAGGAAGGAAATGAAATCCCTGTGTGCTAGAAGTATCAGTATGAAAGCACTAATCTCACAGACTGAGTTCTGAAAGCAATAATCAGAACACCTAAAGGCCTCTCTAGTCTAAATGCATTGCAAGCACCTAATTCACAGACCCCTATAGATTTCCAGTTTTAACTTAGTGCCTAATGAAGTGAAGTTCACCTCTCAAAACCTTTATCACAGCTGGACATAACTAGCAATAGTTACTTGCAAGACTACAACTTAAGGGGGAAACTAAATCTCAGCAGGTTGTCATTCTAGAACAAAGTCAAAATATGCTTTTATAGGTAATATCATACAGAGTAGTCTTCATCCAGGTCTCCAGTCTACATGTCAAAATCAGCATACAATTTGCCTCTTATTGTTAGTCTCTGCATAGACGTGTCAGAATGGAAATTCAAAGCCACATCAGTCAAGAGTGAAATTCTTCCACAGAGTTATGAGAGGAGTAATATGTGCACCATTCATTTATGGTCAGTCAAAGAACACAATTTTTATGTGGCTCCAAATAAATTCTTGCTCACTCAAACAATCAAAACAGTTTTTAACAGTCAAAACACAACAGCTGTTGATTTCTCAGTACAGTTACAATAATGTTAATGCTTACAATCCAAACCACCTAGTTTCTATTGAGAATTGTTAATGTTACAATAAGATCAATAGATCCAAATATTTGCTCTTTTTCTCACATCTTGAATCTCCACTATTCAGATCATCCACAGTCTGAGAGGTCAACTCTCCTCTGTCAGGCAGGATGATTACCACATTCCAACTTGTGTGCAGGAGGAGTGAGGTTTTACTGCAGCATAGTTACTGGTGGGACTTTCTTCTTCATCAGTTTGTGATTTGCTCAGTATTATTTTTATGTTGTTCAAACAGCTTATTTGCTAAAATAACTGTCTGATTTCCTCATAAATTTGCTTATACCATAATTTATTTAAGTGTATTTGTCCTCTATGTACAGGAGGATTTCTTTTACATTGTCTATGTGACAGCACATAGACAAATTACTCAAATAGAAGTTGAAAACTTCTTAAGTAGTACCCAGATGATTCTCTAAGCCCAAGCACACAGATAAGGGGGTGGATGCTTGGTCATCGGGTAATTTTGTCATTATGGGTAGGACCAGATGGGCAATATTCATCTGTTCAGTCCTGAGAGGTAATTACAGGCAGAAGTTATGTAAACATATTTTCAGCTAAAATGAACCCAAGTTAACCAATCCAGAAAAGGCTGAGGTACACCATAAGGCTTATTAATATCATGAAGCCAAAATCCCAATACTTTTACTCATCAAGTTGGCTGTACCATAGGAGTTAAGGCACTTCCATTGTCCTTGCTTGCAGTTTGCTTCAGTCTGAAAGTGTCTGAGACACATCTTCCTTTGATGAACACCTACATTCTTTCCTTCTTCTTTTGAAATGAGTTATTGCGTGTCTTTGTTTAGTAGCTATTGGTGAAAAATTCTCTGGCCTTTGGTGACTAAACCTGAAAAATACAGCCTTTTGATAAGGGGATTTAATTTAATAGCTGTTATCTTGTCTTCTTTTATCCTAATTTTTAACCTGAAGGTGGGAATTAATAAATCGCTTACTAATTCTGATTCCCATTGAATCTGTGGCTCCTCTTTGGACATTGCACTGCTTAAACACAGGCAGATCATCTTACCTTGGTTTTTGTCCTCCTAAAAACTAGTTTACATATCTTGGAAGTACATAGAGGTATTCTGTAAAACCTTCTTAGGTCTTGGGTTCTAAAAATCACATGAAATATCTCTGTGCAGTAAAAGCAAAGAATCAATTTGTCCTTATTACAAATTCTAAACAGAGATGCATCAGTTCTTCCTTCCTCATCTGAGCCACTGTGTACGCATATGTGTGAACAAGCTCCATCTATTTATAGCTTTAATATATGCAATAAATATTAAAGGAATCTTTTCATTATTGAGTTCCTTTTCTTCATTATAATACATCATTAAGATTTGCCTTAAAACATTAATGGGAATAAGAAAGGCAAAAGCTTAGTTTCATATCACCTCACAGAGGTCTAATGTTGTAAACTTATCACAAATCCTATTAGCCCTTTTTGCAGAGTGTGTGGTGTTTATCTCTGGGTTAATTATAGCACTGTCTTGAGGAAACCATCTGACAGTGAGAAAAGACTGAAATCTAACCTTCTTTACTGTTTGCAGTAGGAAAAGCTGTTTTGTCTCCTCTGACATCTGGAGAAAAATGCTGGATAAACAGCCTCTTTGGCTAGCCCATTGATATTGAAGGAAAATCTGCGCTTTTTTGTTGGTCTTGCCATTCACAGTAGGTTTTACTGTTTCGTTTCAAATGAAAACACGTGTGTTTGCTTTGAAATGGTACTATAAAATTGGCTGAGTTCTCCTTTTTCTGCAGACTTAACTTCTCCCCTTTCCCGTCCTCATCCCCACAGGCCCGTGACGGAGGGTTAGCCCAGATCAGTGGAGTCATGCGTCACACAGCTCTATCATGCTGGCAGCCGTTCCTGGGTCTGGCTGTGCTGCTAATCTTCACAGGCCCCACCATGGGCTGCCCGGCCCGCTGTGAGTGCTCGGCACAGAACAAGTCTGTCAGCTGTCACCGAAGGCGTCTGATGTCCATCCCAGAGGGCATTCCCATTGAGACCAAAATCTTGGACCTCAGCAAGAACAGACTGAAGAACGTAAACCCTGAGGAATTCACATCGTACCCTTTGCTGGAGGAGATTGACCTCAGTGACAATATTGTCTCCAATGTGGAGCCTGGAGCCTTTAACAATCTCTTCAACTTGCGCTCCCTCCGGCTGAAAGGAAACCGTCTGAAGCTGGTCCCCCTTGGGGTATTCACTGGGTTATCAAACTTAACAAAGCTTGATATAAGTGAAAACAAGATTGTCATTTTGCTGGACTACATGTTCCAAGATCTGCATAACCTTAAATCCTTGGAGGTTGGGGACAATGATTTGGTGTATATATCACACAGGGCCTTCAGTGGGCTGCTTAGCTTGGAGCAGCTCACCCTGGAGAGATGCAACCTCACAGCCGTACCAACAGAAGCTCTTTCTCACCTCCACAACCTCATCAGTCTGCGTTTGAAACAGCTCAACATTAACGCTTTGCCGGCGTATGCCTTTAAAAGACTGTTTCGCCTGAAAGACCTGCAGATAGAGGCCTGGCCCCTCCTGGACATGCTGCCTGCCAACAGTTTGTACGGTCTCAATCTTACTTCTCTCTCCATCACCAACACCAACCTGTCTGCTGTACCTTACTCTGCTTTTAAGCACCTGGTTTACCTGACACATCTCAACCTCTCTTACAACCCCATCAGCACCATCGAAGCAGGCATGCTGTCAGATTTAGTGCGCCTGCAGGAGCTCCACATGGTGGGGGCCCAGCTGCGCACCATTGAACCACACGCTTTCCAAGGGCTCCGATTCTTACGTGTGCTTAACGTGTCCCAAAACCTGCTAGAAACCCTAGAAGAGAATGTATTCCATTCCTCCAAAAGCCTTGAGGTCCTCTGTATTAACAACAACCCTCTGGCCTGTGACTGCCGTCTCCTTTGGATTTTGCAGCGGCAGCCCACCTTGCAGTTCGGGGGTGAGCCGCCGATGTGTGCTGGCCCAGACAGTGTAAGAGAGAGGTCATTCAGAGACTTTCACAGCACAGCTCTTTCCTTTTACTTCACCTGCAAGAAACCCAAGATACAAGACAAGAAGTTGCAGTACCTGGTGGTGGAGGAAGGCCAGACAGTGCAGTTGATGTGCAATGCTGACGGGGACCCACAGCCTACCATCTCCTGGGTTACCCCACGTCGGAGGCTGATCACAACTAAATCAAATGGTAGAGCCACAGTGCTGGGAGATGGCACCCTGGAGATCCGATTTGCTCAAGACCAGGACACTGGGATCTACGTCTGTATTGCAAGTAACGCAGCTGGGAATGACACCTATTCGGCCTCCCTTATGGTAAAGGGGTTTACTTCAGATCGTTTCCTTTATGCCAACAGGACCCCTATGTATATGACAGACTCCAACGACACAAGTTCCAATGGAACTAATGCGAACAGCTACTCTCTGGACCTTAAGACAATATTGGTGTCCACAGCTATGGGCTGTTTCACATTCCTTGGAGTGGTTTTATTTTGTTTCCTTCTTCTTTTTGTTTGGAGCCGAGGGAAAGGCAAACACAAAACCAGCATTGACCTTGAATATGTCCCTCGCAAAAACAATGGTGCTGTGGTTGAAGGGGAGGTTTCTGGACCACGACGGTTCAATATGAAAATGATTTGATGGTATTCTGCTAGCAGTGCTTTTTCTGTGGCATTAAAATCTATTAAAACAGCCTGGCATGTGGAATCGCTGGGCAAAAGCAGCTTAATGCAGCTGTCAGTGTATCAAAAGGTTGTAGGAAAATGGAAAGACTATTTGTGGTTATACAACAGAGCCTCCAGACCTTGAGGCAGATGTGTCAGGGCCTTTCATAGAACTGGGAAATTGTACTAACTGTTTGCATTGCAAATATTGGCATTCTGGGGATATCAGCAATGAACCACTGGCTCATGCTCATGGACAATTGTTCAACATTTTCTACTGCTACAAAAGAAAAAAGAAAAAAAACAAACAAAAACCTACAGTGTAGGATTTACATACTTAAAGAAAAAGACACATTTGTCTAAAACATACTCTACAGTGACATTTGTATCTATATATCTCATTTGGTAAAACTTTGCATCCTCCCTTCTAGTTGGTTCAACACCACAAAAAAATTAGTAGTTTTTTTTCTTTTTAATCTACATCTATACTGTGTACATTTTAAAGCAATACAAATGAGAGGTTGTGCTTTTAGATATCCACCAATACTGACCCAAGTGTGATGTCACCCTTCTTTTAACTACCATCAAACTTAAATTAGATTCTTGTAGTTACTAATTAGAAATTACATAAGGTATTTTTCTCCTCATGTAGAAGGCCAGAGCTGAATAATTGAGAGTAAAAACAATCAACTCTGTCGATCTTCTCTTCGTATAAATATAAGGCATGTGCCTAGTTTTGATACAGAATGGAATATTTTTTATATCTGTGATATCACACTGGACCAGTTTACTGTAACATAGCCCTGGCTCTCACCCAGGGAAGGCAACCCACTAGTCAATGCTGGCATAGAGGAGTTGAGTTCTACCTTGAAGAGAGAGAATCGGTTTTGTTAGCCCTGATTTTAATTTCAAAGCTACTGTTAAAATGTTAATGTGTACCGGGCAAAATAAAGAGCATAATACATTCTGCAGACTCCTTGGGAAATATGGTCATCTTACTATTTATACAAATGTATCAAAACATACAAACACTCTGCTACTAGGAATGAACTCTTCTCCAATGCCAAGTAAACTACAGTTGTTCATGCATAATATGGGGATTATAATACTAAAATAATGATTAAAACATGATAGCCTCAAAAAGGCTAACATACTGCCAGATATAATGAACCTCTAGCCACTGTCATTCTCATCTTGTATATTTGTAGATAACACATAGACACAAAGCTAATTTCCAAGAACAGATTACTTAGCTATTCTTGATGCCATTTTAATAATGATGTGGTTATGTTTCTTTCAGGGGCAGTATCTTAGAGCAAGAGGGGTGAGTTATTCCAGATTTTAGAAATCATTTTTAATGGAGAGAAGTCAGAAGCGGAATATTAGTTCAGTACAAGTAATCTTTTGTTTGTTTTATGTCTCTAAACAAATTCTCAAAAGACTGAGAACTAAAACTTTATTCTTAATCATTAATATCACTATTCCTATTTTGAAATTCTCAGCAATTGCAAGATACGAAGTTGTTCGTCACTTCTCCTTTTTTCAGCAATTAGGAGCCATAAGTTTGTCCTACATGGCTGATAACAAATACAATTTTTCAATGATTGGCATAACCTGGAGTAAGGATAACAATGACTATATATATATTTAATCAAAAAGAATATGAAAATATTATAAGACAGAACATTCGGATTATTGTGATTTAAGAGCCCATGTCCAATCTTAATATTAGATTTCAGCACTTTGAAACAAAAGTCAGGTTGACCTATAATGGAATGCAGGTGCTTCTAAAATTAGTATCCACATTCTTTGGCAGAGATTTTCAAAGCAGGATAACGATCTCTCGCTCCTATCAAGGGAAATGTGCCAAAAGTTGTACAATCCAGCTGTGCTCCCCAGATGTACCCATAACAAAGCTGCAGGACCCAAGGCTAGACAATTTTGAGAATCTCTTTTCTTAGTGGTTGATATTTAGTTGCATCGTTGTTCCATTTTATGTTGCCAAACTGAGGAGGTTACAAGGGTTGTTAGAATTTTGTTCACTTAAGTTGATTTTAAGTTTAGAGCTGTGTTTTCTTGCTTCCTTTTTTTTTATGCTCTGAACTAGATAAGTGAAGATTTATAGAGAAGTTTGATCAGAATACTCTTTGTTCTATGACAGTTTGTAGATCATTAATATAATGGAATAACCCCTGACTAAATTCTAACACCAGGGAAATTATTTTTGTTGATGTAATAACCACTGCACTGACGTCCAAAACTCTACTGTACCTTAATGTGGGCAGTTAAAGAAACAAATGGGGATAAAAAAAAATGTTTCTGAACTGTCCATTGAAGACATTTGCATGTGCCTTTCCCTTGTAATTGTATTTTTTCAACTAGTAATCCATTGCCCCTGCAGTCATTTCATGTTAAATGTTAAAATCAGTGTAAGAAGCAAAAAGTCTCCTAAGTTCTAGACATTTGCAGCTGATTTCTTCATATTAAATGACACAATGAAAAAAATTCTAAAAAAAAAAAAAACAGAAAAAAATGTACTTTTAGGATTAATTATGAATTGCTGTATTCCCTTATTCCCTTAGAATGATTCTTAAGTGATTGCATTGTTAGTGCACTGCAAGGATTTGTGAGCAGAAATATGCTTAGTTACCTATGTGAAATGTGTGCTGGTGATAAAAATCACCACTTGCTGTTGCTGAGCACCACCTTGCAGATCTGTCAGCGTTCTGTGTATTGCCTTGAGTTCAGTCAGTATTCAGTTTTTCAGAATCAGTGTTTGCTTCCTGCCTCTAGCGATGTTCTTCTTTTTGGAGCCTACTTATTTCAGCATGGACTTGACAAGGCATATGGCATCTCTTAACAGAAGTGAGGACAGCAAGACTCAGAGACACACTTTTTATCTTGCTCCACACAGTCTCCTTTTTTATGTATCTGCGGGACACACACTCACTGTGGCTCTTTTGGGTGGATAAGGAATACAGTGCCAAGGTCGCACCTAGATAAGCACCTTTTTGGCAAATCTTTTAAGAACAGAATGGATGAATGCCTACGTGCTTCTTGAAGGAGTCACTTCTACTTCTCTGCTAGAGATCAAGGGGACACCACAGTTTATTTTACTGCAGGGGAGAAAAAGGATTGGGCTGTGAGGAGGCATCTGACCCACATGGCTCCCCTATCATATATTCAGAGACAGGTGCATAGTGCATACCTGGTACTAAAAGTGGGAACAAAGGTTTTAAGCTACCTCTGACTTTTGTACAGGCTGACCCCCATGCTGGCACAAGCCTGAACTTACCTGGCAGTCAGTGCAAGAAAACTCTGAGGAGCAGCAACTGTTCTGCAGAAATGGAAATAGCAGAAAATGTCAAAACCAGCAAAGGAACTTGAGAAAGCTGGTACCAAAATATCCTTGTCATAATTCCTTTAAGAGAATGCTTGAGCCTCCCACAAATGTTTTGAAGTCCACTTCCACAGACTAGTACTCTTCTTTCAGATTAGATGAATGTACAAGTGTTTACAGAATCACACTGAATCATGGAATTATTTAGGTTGGAAAAGACCTCCAAGATTATCAAGTCCAACCTTTGACCTTGTCAATTAGACCATGGCACTAAGTGCTACACCCAGACATTTACTGAACACCTCCAGAGATGGTGACCCACCACCTTCCTGGGCAGTGCATTTCAATGTTTAACAAATATTTCTGTGAAGAAATTCCTCCTGACGTCCAACCTGAACCTCGCCTGGCACAGTGTGAGGCTATGCTCTCTCATCCTGTAACTTAGTTGCCAGGGAGAAGAGACCAACCCCCATCTTACTACAACCTCCTTTCAGGTAGTTGTAGAGAGTGATAAGGAACCCCCATGAGCCTCCTTTTCTCCAGGCTAAACAATCCTAGCTCCTTCAGCAATTCCTCATAGGACTTACTCTATACATCCTCCAGCAGTTCCTTTGCCCTTCTCTGGGCATGCTCCAGGACCTCAATGTCTTTCCTGTAGTGAGGGGCCCAAAACTGAACATGAGATTCAAGGTGTGGCCTCACCAGTGCCAAGTACAGAGGGACAATCCCTTCCTTGGTCCTGCTGGACACACTATCGTTGATACAAGCCAGGATGCCATTGGCCTTCTTGGCCACCTTGGCACACTGCTGGCTCATGTTCAGCCACTGTTGACCAGTACTCTCAGGTCTTTTTCTGCTGAGCAGCTTTCCAGCCACTCTTCCCCGGGCCTGTAGCACTACCTGGGGTTATTATGATCTGAGGGCTGGACCTGGCACTTGACCTTGCTGAACTTCATATTGTTGACCTCAGCTTCTCAATCCAGCCGGTCCAGATCCCTCTGCAGAGCCTCCCTACGCTCCAGCAGATCCACACTGCCACCCAACTCAGTATTGCTTGCAAACTTACTGAGGGTGCATTTGATCCCCTCATCCAGGTCATTGACAAAGATGTGAAACAGGACTGGCTCCAATACTGAGCCTTGGGAACCCCACTAGTGACTGGACACCAGATGGATGTGGCACCATTCCCCACCACTCTCTGTGCCCAGCCATCCAGCCAGATTTTAACCTGGGCATTTTTTTAACCCGGGCATTTTTTTAGCCCAGTTAAACTTTCAGTAAGTGAGTTAAAGAGAAGACTGAAGCAATGTATTAACAAAAGAGTTTGAAATTATTTTAGGATGGTTAAGACTAACCAGCACCCCACCTCAGCCTTACTTTTAGATTTTGAGCTGGTTCTCTTTTCTTTTCCCCTTCTTTCTTATTAACTTTGCAACATTCTTTTCAGAAAGACTTTGTCCACAGAAATCTAACTTTAGTTAGATTCAGACTGGGAGGCTGCTTTTACCCTCCGTTCCCACTTCACCAACCATTCACGCATGTTACAAGAACCAACAGGGTTGACAGCTCCAGATACAACTGAAATCAAACAGGAGACTCCAAGATCCCTAGAGAACTGTTGACACAAGCTGATGTCACTAAGTGGTTTTTTAACTAAACTTTTTTTCTTTTGACTTCATTGTCACACTAGCATTCGAGGTTTTCCTTATTTACATGGATGTAGCTATCTTTTTTTTCCTAATTTCTTTCGTCTTGGTATTGAAACATCTATGACAGTAACAATTATAACATCAGAAATAAAATTAAGAAACATTGCACACTACACCCTCAGCACCACAAATTGTAATTTAGGCATATGAGACGCAGTAAGAAGTCGGCATTAATATTTAATGACAAGTCTTATCTAAACCTTGTGACAGAAGAAACTGGTGAGAAGAAACTGAGGGATGTAGGTCATGTTGCGACAGAGTCACATCAAAGACAAGTAGAAACAGTCTTTGCTACGCCATACCTGGATATCAGTTTTAGACATTGGACTTTTTCTGAAAAACTTTCACGATATGTGAATGCCAGAAGCCCACATTTAACCCATAAAAAGACAAAGTGTTGGCTGAAAATCCGGTAGAGCAAGTGACTACAGACTGCCCAAGTACAACAGCAGCTTCCAGCAAAGACAGACAAGAAACTATAGTCAGGCAGTTATTTTGCCTCATCCACTACTGCATTGTGTGAAAATATAGTTCATTAGGCAGTAATCAAATGGACAATCCTTACCCATTTTTCTTCAAAGAATGCAACGTTTGTGTAAGGTGTAACATAGAATCTGTTACACCTCCATCCCCAGCAGTGAAACACCCAGCAAGAAGTGAGGAAGAGGAAGCCTATTTTGATCAGTTTATTAATTATACTTTTCCCCTGAATGGTCATAGTCTACCTGGGGCTTGCATGATGACTGTCCTGTCCATTTCCATCATCTCAGCTCATCAGATGGCTTGACATGGGAGTAGCAGGGAAAGAAGCACATGATCAAGTTGTCTATCTTCACTGAACTGTAACTCTGATCTCAAATAAAAGAAAAAGCAGAGCAGTAGAGTCTTAGAAATGCCAGTCTGCTGCAGCTGATTCGTAGTTTTGCCGTAAGACAG